GCTTTATTTTATTTGTTTTTATTTTATGTGTATGAGTATATTGCCTGCATGCATGTAAGTGCACTCATGTCCTGCAAAGCCCACAGAGGTTGTAAGAGAGCATCAGATTCCCTGGAACTGGAGTTATAGACAGTTGCTAGCTGCCATGTGGGTGCTCGGATTTGAACCCAGGTCTTCTGCAAGAGCAGTCAGTGCTCTTAACTGCTGAGCCATCTCTCCAGCCCCTAATAAATAAAATACTTTTTTAAAAAAGTATTAAATCATGGCTCAGCAGTAAAGAGAACTGACCGCTCATGAAGAGGACCCGAGTTCGATTCCCAGCACCCACATGGCGGCCACAAACCGTCCTTAACTCCAGTTCCAGGGGAATCCGAAGCCGTCTTCCGTCCTCCGAGGCACTGAATGACACGGGTGCACTCACATACATGCAGGCAATACACTCGTACACATAAAATATAAAAATAATAAAATATTAAAAAAAAGTTCTAAATCTAAAACTATGGTAGAATAGGTAAAATAGTGTTCCTTTGTAGAATAGTAAGAAACCTGATGGAAATTGTTTTTACTACAAATATAATATTTAAAAATTGCTAGATATTCTATATTTTATATAAATGCCTTATGAAGCACATATAAATCCTTTTAATTCTGAATTGAGAAATTGCTAGCTGATTTCCTAGAACATCTAGAATGTTCTGTTGTGATACTGTGATTAATTGATTAATATGTTACCATCTCATACACTTAATGTATTAACAGTTTGATAAGTTTTCTAATTATATTTTTTGTTTTTTTTCTATTTCCTCAGGTCCTTTGGTCTGGAAAACCGTATGGTTCTTCTCGAAGTATTGTAAGGAAAATCGGTACTAACTTATCTCTGATTCAGTGTCCAAGAGTTCAGTTTCAGGTACTATGTTTTTATATTTTTCAAATTCTCATATTAATATGTATATTAGAAATGTACCTACTAGGTAATGTGATTTGGGAAGTACTAAATTGTTTTTGATGCTTTTCCCTTACTGATAATATGATCAATAAAATATAAGAGGATTAGCAATCAAAGTCTGTTTAGTTCTTCTGTGAAGTGATTATTCCAGGTCTTTCAGACATTTAATCTTTTTTTTTTTTTTTTTCTGTTTTTGGTCTTTTGAGACAGGGTCTCCTTGTAGCCCCAACTGTCCTGGAACTCACTGTGTAGACCAGGCTGGCCTCCAACTCACAGAGGTCCGCCTGCCTCTGCCTCCCAAGTGCTGGGATTAAAATCGTGCGCCACCACGCACGGCCACCATTTAATCTTCTTTAAAATATGTAGGTGAATATTTAGAAACATGTGATAAACTAAGCAATTGTTAATTCCCAGGTGATCTTGAGTATAGGTCTTTGGGTGGTTATTTAATATTACACCTTCCTCTTGATAGCAACTCTGTTCCCCAGGTTTGTTTTTAGATGTCTTTAGATGCCATATAAGTTGCTTTCTCCATTATTGATTTCCAACTCGGCATTAAATGTGAAACCCATTGCTTTAGCAGCGGTAGTGTCAAGACAAAGAGGAATTGTAGTTCTTTGAATGAAGTGAAAGGCAAACTGAATTAGGGGTGTTTTGAATGCCCTGGCCTTAGTATTCTCTGCTAGCATCAGCTCAAGAACAACTTTGCTCTGTTTGGAGATACTACTGTTCTGCTTTTGTTTCTTATTACAGTGTTAGATCTACATCACGAAACATAGTTCTGTTCTTTTCTGGAATTCTCTGACATAGTAATAATGATAAAACATTGCAGTTCAGTGTTTAATAACATAAAGTTTAGTACTTTATGGTGTAACACCAAAGAAAACTTTCAAGTAGTGGGTTAGCATATGGAGTTGTGGAAGATGTTGTTAAGTCATCCACCAGAAGCTCTGCAGTGCCTTGCATGCTTTGATTAATACCGCATCATAATGTAAATCATTCTTGGTAGATGGTTAAAATGTGTTCCTAAATAAGTGCTACAAATTAGCTCTTGTTCAGATTAACCAAGAAAATTGTTCATTGTTGTGTGCATAATTCTGTTTGTAAACTGGCTCTCAGATTACCACTTTCTAAGTAATTTTTATCAGTTCGTTTTGTTTTTGTTTTTGTTTTTGTTTTTGTTTTTGAGACAGGGTCTCTATAGACTCAGGTGGACTGGAACTTGCTAGGTAGACCAAACTGGCCTTGAGCTCACAAAGATCCACCTGTTTCTGCCTCCCAAGTGCTGGGATTAAAGGTATGTTCCACCACCCTGCCTTTCAAAAGTTTTTTTTAAATAACTTTTTGATTCATTTTTCTTTTATGCCTGCATGTATGTAAGTGCACCTGTGTCTCACAGTGCCCATGGATGACAGAAGAGGGTGTCAGATCCCCTGGTACTGGGCTGCCATGTAGGTGCTGGGATTTGAACCGGGGTCTTCTGCAAGAGCAGCCAGTGCTCTTAACTACGGAGCCATTTCTCCAACCCCAAAGTTTTTTAAAAATAATGAGAGCTGGATGTGATGGCACAATCCCAAAACTCACAAAACAGAGGGAGGTGAATCTTGGGGGTTTCAGGCTGGCTTGGTCTATATAGTGAATTCAGGCCACTACATAGCGAGACCCTATCACAAAAAAATTAATTAATTAAATTCATTAATGAACATGAAGGATCTGTGTTTGTCTCAAGTACTGGCTCTCAGAATCACATTCATCTAGACACAAATTACTGTTTTATTTGCTAATGCTCTTCAGAAAACTATTGTATTAACTAAGGTTTTCAACTTTCAACTTTTCTCTCTGGGACTGAGAATATAGTTCAGTAGTAGAGTGCTTGTCTAATATGTGTGAGGTTCACTTCACAGCAATATACACAGAGAGAAAGAGAAAGAATATTTATTACATTTATTTATTTATTTATTATGTGGACTGGGGAGGTATGCCAAGCATGTAGAGGTCAGAGGTCAATTTGTGGTTGGTTCTTTCCTTCTACCGTGTGGATCTTAGAGATTAAATTCAGATCATCAGGCATAGTGGCCATGTTGTTTTTACTCCCTGAGCCATCTTGCTGTTCCAGAAAAAATGTGTTTAATGTAGATGTAGGAACTTTGACTCAGTAATTAATTGGTTTCTGGTATATGTTTCCATCCAAATCTGCCTGGACAGTCACTGGGCCAAAGTGCTCCAGCCTCTACACTTACAGAGGAAGATTCTCTTTATCTTTAAAGTAATAAGGATGTGAACTGAAAAAGAATGAAAAATGTGAGATTTAGTACAGGAATTGTATTTGAAAAGAGAGAACATAAAAGAAGTAAGGTAAGCGAACATGGGTAACCTAATTTATGATGTAGTGGAAGGCAAAGTTTTTTTTTCCTCCCCAGGACAAGGTCTGCTACTTGGCCACGGCTAGTCTCAAACTCAAGCACCTCCTGCCATAGTCAGTTCAGTGCTGTGATTACAGGCGTGAGCCACCATGCCCAGACAAATCATTTGTTTAGAGTGAGATTTTTATTTCCAGATGGATTCCTTTCAATCTCAGCATCAGTATTAAATTATTTTATTTGCTACTTTGATGTTTTTAAATCTATTATTCCTGCTAAAAATTTAAAAATGATGGTCTTCAAAAATACAGAGAATTTAAGTAATGAAATTGGAAATGCATTTACTGTTTTTCTGACTTATTTAGTGGCTTATTGGTGAGGAATGTATCTAGGCTGCCTAGCCATGTAGGAGACTTACAGAAATTCTGGGATCTCGGGATCAGCTACAGGCCCAGTGAGAGTAGAGCATGAGGCCATAATCAGAAGACAAAAGTTTAAATTAATTGAACCACAAGTCAGATTTCTTGTGGTCTGTTCAGAAATAGAAATTAGGTACTCAAAACCAGTCTGCTTATTTTTCTGGGTGATTTACCCAATATCTCATCCAACACATTATTGACATCATTTTTGCCCTTCTTTTATGTTATTAATTTTCCATTAACTCTCTCAATTCCTCCACACTTTTCTACTGCCAGAAGAAATAGCAATGCAACACTTTCACCTTTGACATATTAAACCTCTGTCACTTCCGGTAGACTACAGCATTGATTATACTAGCTTACCACATGCCTTTGGTCAAGTAAGATCTGTCTCTTGTCTGTAAATGTTGGATAAGACTATCATGTTACTTGAGCTGAGATAGTATGTGAAAGTCCCGAGTATAACAGGTGCATAGTGAGTGTGCAGTAAAACATGGTGTTGCTGGTGGTAAGGTTGTTGCCATATTGTTATTGTCACATTGCAAAGCAGATTACTTGGCTCTCTTAACTCTTCATTTTTGTAGAACGAATTTTTGCATATTTATGGGGTCACAAATCAAATATCAGATAACATCTTCATCATGTTAATGGGCACAATGATTGTTGTGCTAGAAATTAAGTCTGTA